GTATAATGCTCTTGGGTATATGCAGTTCTGATCGAGACTAGCACCAGAACGTTGCCTGCCGGCCACTTCACAATTTGCCCACGTACCATACAGAAGCGGCGTACACATGCCCGCAGTTTTTGCGTGGCTTGTGTCTTTACGCTTGTAAGCCTGGTGGCGATCTGCCTCATCTTGTCATTACTGCATCATACAGTCAAATACTATCGTTATTATTTTAGCCATCTTGGTTAGCCCTATCTATGCATAACGAAATAAGAAGCTTTTTCCCCCCCCTACAACCAGCTGAGGTAAAGGCACATCTTTTACTATGATCATTATAGTATAAAAAAATAAGAGAATGAAAAAGTAAATAGGCTATAAACATACTATATGACAGTCAAGAAAGAGTTGTTATTAAAAACAAGAATAAAGTTTGAAAGAGAGTGCATTTGTAAAATACTCCGTAAAGAAAAATAAAATACTTGCTTTACCAGTTTCTGGTTTCATGGCGGATGGGGAGATGTGATCCAGGTAGACCTCTTAAGTGTGGAGAGGAGGGGCCCAGATTGGATGCGTGAACTCTCAAGATGTTAAAAAATAAGTGCCTCTCCCCGGGGGAGCATGCCCGCCAGGACCCCTCCCCAGACACCGGTGTGGTTAGGTCCCCCGCCCCCGACTAAAATTCATGTCCACGATGGATATGAAAACTAAAACATTTGCACACATCTTGTGTCCGAGTATCTTTCTGCTTTTTGGTGGTCATGCACAACCATGCACCCCCCCCCCCCCTGCCATGCCATGCGTGAGTCATGGTAAGATATCTGGATTAAGAGGTTGCTTTTTCTTTGCACAGCATGAAAGAAAGGCCAAATGAATGGGCTGTGATTTTAGTATTTTGAAGCAGAGGTCAATCATTTGTACGGCCCTCGGAGGATGTTGAAAAAATTGAAATGGCTTTACGGGATTACAATTTCAGAGGTTTAAAGTATCTGAAGTTGTAGTCTTCACAAATTCTGATTATATTTTATTGCTTAAAGAATTGTTTTTGATCTGTGATTTCCCACAAGCTTAGGGTTCCATGGATTTTATGTGTAACTGCAATATCATTTAACACCATTGTAAATGAGGTGACACACAACCAGGAACTTAAGAAAATACAATTGTAGAGCCAAGCTTTAGCCACTCAGGTGCAGAACAATGGTGAAGGCCACAGCCACACATAGACTACCTGTACATGTTAACCACGTGTGTCTCTTGCAGGGGCAGATGGTGGGATACTGCTCACCTCCCCAATTTCTTCCTCTTGTTTCAATTCATAAAATACTTCACTCACCCCTTCTACACTCGTCTTTCACATAATCTTCCAAGAAACATTCCCCTCTCTCTCATTGTTTTGCTGAAGAAAAAAAAAAAACTCATAAAAGAAATGAAGAGGAAAGAGACTGTGAGAAAGGTTTGAGGAGAAGAAGAGTGAAGATAGCTGAGATCGCCTTGATCTACAGCCACCTGTCTATAATGCAGCTGGGGGTCAAAGGGGAAGACACAGGAGGCACTTTCAGGGACACGCACACTGTATATTCTTAAACACACACAGATGTGTTTTATGAATGTGAGTGTAAGTGAACATTTAGCATAAATTTTATATTAAAGATTCGTATTGTGCTTTTTGGGGTGTTCCCTTTCCTATGATGTGTTATGTAGGGTTTTGTGCATGTCAATGGTCTACAAAGGCTCAACTCCCTGTGTTAACTCCAGAGGGACTCTCACACCCCCCCCCCACCCCTGCCTGAAACGCTGCCATTGATTACTGCCTTTGATTACTTAGAGAACATAGTGAGATCACTACGTAACACTGGCGCTTCTATTGGCTAGTATTCAAACACATTGTACAATATAGGCTAAGGCGCGGGACATCTCTAATTGGTTAACCAATCAGAAAAGAGCCGGTCAGCAAACCAATCAGCGTATACTGTGCTCTGGTTTCAGACAGAGGGTGGAAAGAGGTGCTGCAGCACAGGCAGTAGGAGAAAAATAAAGAGCTTTTTGAACATTAAAGCATGGAGACATGTCCCAGTAGACACTAAATAATAATATACACCTGAAAATGAGCAGAATATGTCCTCTTTTACACAATTTTTCGCTGCATACCTTGAAGTCTTTCAATAAAGTTTAAAAAAACAAATATTTTGTTAATCTCAGATAATTATAAAAAAAGACAAAGGCAGCTAAATACATCTTCATTTTTTGTTGCTGCTACAGCTCGTTGCAAGCAGCCTTACAGAACTTTGTCTGTTCATTCAAATATTTTTAAGTTGCTGATTTCAAACATTGATCTGATTCCGTAAACGTAACCTGCTCCAAAGAAACACAGGTGAAGCAGTGTTTCAAACACAAATTCAGACCAGACGTGAGATGTCAGCAGCGTTTAAGCGCTAACTAAAACACTCTGACCTATGATCTACTGAAGAGTGATGGCCGTCAAAAAACACTCTGGAGAAACTGTAAAAAATAGCATTGGGGATCATCCATCACACAAGTTAACCACTTAGTTTTACTTTACGGAGCTAAACACACTGCTTTCTGTTTACACCTGCCTCATGGCAACCAAAGCTCTCTGATTTATAATCACATACAATTCCATACCGCAACTCTGTCTGTCCAGCTGTCAGGCAGGTTATCAGTAGCAAAGTGTGTGCATATGTCACTCTGATGGGAGCGAGCTAAAAATACTATCCTCAGCTAACTCACTTGATGGTTACACTGCAAACACAACCACACGTGAACACACACACGGGAATATTGAGGAAGTCTCGGCTGTGATCCATCATTGAGGGACGGAAAATTATGACACCACAGAGAGAAAGAAAGAGAGAGACACACACAGCATGAGGGGAGAAAAAAAAGCCCACACCCTTGACACCCAGACAGTAGAGTCTCTGTGTTGTCAGTACCCTCCTCGGAGACCCTGAAGTGTCATAAACGACTTCAAAAAGGACGGAGAGATGAGGGAGGAAGAGAGAGGAGAGTGGTGTATGTTATAATGACTTCATTTGACACAGCCACTCTCCAACACCAATTCAAACACTCTTTTACACACAACTGCGCACAACTTTCCTCTCTCTTGTGCATCCATCTTATTAAATCCGTTAGAACTAATTCAATCCATTAAGTAAATATTTGGCAATGTCCAATAATGTGAACATTATGCAAATAAATTAAAATAAATGATTAACTTATCTGTTTTGATGATCACATCTCAGTAAGTATTATATTTCACATTTTGTGAATCAAGGTACATACAAGTAAACACAAAGCTCTCAAATCTCAGTGATGTTTGATATATTATTTGCCATTATTGTGTCTGTGTGTCTGGTAGTTGGTGCGATTACTGAGTGACTGGTGGTAGTGGTGGAATGTAATGAAGTACATTTACGAACTTAAGTACAATTTTGAGGTACTTTAAAAAAGTACTTTCAATTTTTTTGCTTCTTTATACTTCTAATCTACATTTTAGAAGACAATATTGATTCACTTGTAGTAAACAGTTATTTTGTGTTCTTTTGTAATTATTGAGTCTTCTTGTGATAATGTGGGTATTTTATACCTCAGGACTGTGGGAAACAGTATTTCGATCTTTCTGTGTGTACAAACATATTTTGAGATTGACAATAAAGTTGACTTTGACTTGTACTTTTCACTCCACTACATTAGTAACCATTTAAATGACCTAATAAATAAACATTGACATATAATTAGGATATGATATCAGGCAGCAGTATATAACGTCATTAAAAGTAGCTTCACCTTTACCAGCTGTGATGAATACATTAATGCATCATTCATTATATTCCAGTGATTTAATATATAAAATGTACTGTATATAATTCTGAAATGGGTGTTTACATTTAACAAGTACTTTTACTTTTGGTACTTAATGTGAGGCCAATACTTTTGGATACTTTTACTTGAGTAAGATTTTGAATGCAGGACTTTTGTTGTATTTTTACAATTTAGTACTTTTACTTAAGTACATCATCCGAGTACTTCTTCCACTATTGACTGGTCCCATGTTTGCAGAAAATGTGTGTAGCCCAACCATCCTGTAAGATCATGTTGAAGCAGCTATGGTAACGTTATAAATGTAATGAATGTGATAAATATCATTGGTGTACAGCCAGCAGAAGGGAAGAGAAGCACTGAAGCTCCGGCTTTTGACCTTCTTATTCTGTATCAAATTATTTATAATTTGTGTACTGTTGCACAACTTTTGTGAATTTGTGCATCAAATAAAAGCACCAAGTCAAAAACAAGGAGTGACAGATGTGGACAGAGAGTGAGTACAAACAGGAGACCAGCGAAGAAGAAATCCACCAAACTCCCAGCAGGCTCGTCCACTCAGGGGTTGGTTAATTCACTAGACCCACGAGAACTTTAACTGTGTGTGAGCGTGTCTCTGAGTGTGTGAATAGACCTCTGTGTGGAACCACAGAGGCATTTGGTCATGTTTATATCCTTGTTTTTGGCCTGGGTGAGTGTGTACACATCGGCATGTCTGTGCTTGTGAAGGTGTTGCCATACCAGGGAAGTGTTGCTAAGATTCAGTGTGCGTATCTGAGGACAGAACATTTCAATAAAAACTCATTCACATGAAAGTGTTGTGACCCTAGATTTGATGGAACATTTGAACTTGGTGTGTGTTTGTGTGCGGTGTGTGTGGGAGGGGTAGGCTAATCCTAAATGTACCCGTGGTGGTGGGAGGACTGTGGTCACATCTGGACTCAGTTTCTCCTGTTTTCTTTTGCTCCCCTCGCCAGTGCCACCTCACCTGTTCCCTTTTACCCCTCTCACACTTTTTCCCCTCCATCTCTGCCCCTCTTCCTTTAAAACAACTGACGAAAATATTTCCTGGTGTCCACTTAGATGTTGATGTGTGTGTGTGTGTGTGTGTGTGTGTGTGTGTGTGTGTGTGTGTGTGTGTGTGTGTGTGTGTGTGTGTGTGTGTGTGTGCACAGTAATCCTACCTGCTGTTTGAGCTGATGAACCAGACCATCCTTCTCCCGCTTCAGAGCTGCCACCTCGTCCTGGGTTTTCTTCTTCTTGGAGGAGGAGAGCTCCAGCAGGGCGATGTTGGCGTCTTTCTCACTGATGGCTGCCAGCAGCGCCTCTTGCCTGCACAGAGAACAATCGTTTGGTTAGCAAGACTACAAACTTTTTATTTTATTTTATTAAAGCCACACTTGGTGATAATGCACAAGTTGAGCAATGATTGCAATATTAAATAATTGCAATAGGACACATACATTATGGTTTCAATGCAGTTTTAGACATTTTTTGCAAAAAAATATTGCCGAAGATTACAAGACACCTTTTTTTCCAAATCTGTTTTGTGTAAGTTATCCAGAGGATGTTCCCATTACATTTCTAAATGAAAACTTTATGAGCACTTAATTCCAATCACTTCACTGATATTGGTTTGGAGACAGGAATCCCGGAGATAGATGTCTCTAAATCCGGACAAAAGAAAACCAATACTAATTAGGGTATACTTTAATGTCATGGTGAGCCCATGGTGTGTCAACAAGTGGAACAAAGTCCTCTTTATTGGGCGCTATTTTGTGATTTAGAACGATAAAATGGTTACAAAAATATGGAGCTCCCTGTGGTCAAGTACGACGCACACCATGCAATCAAGATGTTTCCACATTGTCTATATGCCATATAGATCCTCATGATAAACCCTCCGTCATATTGTCTTTAACTGATTCATTTTACAACAGCTTTATACACACACATAAATGTCTCTCACTCTGTTTGCATACAGGTGTTACTCTCTAGTCCCTGTCTGTCTGTCTGTCAGGCCTCTTGGCTCTCTATCTCTTCCCCTGACTGACTCCTTAGGTCAGGCTGACGGAGAGATAGCATTCCATGTGGTTCCGGAAGCAACAAGCCGCATCCCATCAGCCACAGATTTGAGGACACCGAAGGCTCCAAATTCTCGGAATTCTGTCCGTTTCCATAGAGAATCTAAATCACAACGGCTTTTCCACAATCCCACAGGGCTCAACGATTTCCCAAAACACTATCACACATAAACACACACAAAGATACCAAATTGCACAGAACATAATAAAATCACTCTTCGTCTGTGTGACTGAATTTAGCTTCTGACATAAATTGTATTTTGCCATCAGGTAATATATAAAGAGAAACTTTAGAAAATATCAAGCTGCTGTTTCTAGATCACAATGCTGGAGTGATTTAAAAATATGTTTAAAGGGGTCCTATTGAGCTTTTGGGGGATTTCCCTTTGCTGTAGTGTGTTGTATAGGTTTCTGTGCATGTCAATGGTCTGGCATTGCAGACAATTACACGGTTTCTCTTTCGGTCTGTCACAGACACACAAACAGATACAGCGGTGCAGGGAGGAATGCAGTGATGAGAGTGTCTAAATCAAGACAGATTGCACGTTTGGACTCCGTGAAGACCCACAGATTCTTTGGTCAACCTCACTGACCAAACTGTCAGTGTACAAGTGTCCCATCATGCATCTGGACACAGCATTCCTGTCAGGAGCAGAGGCTGAGGGAGTGGAGACTGGGTAGAGTGATTCCCCGGGCCAGTCTGCTAAAATACTTTTCAGACATATGAATATGGAAGCACAGATTTGAGATATTTTGTACCGATATGTTTATGAATTTATAATATTATGTTGCCCATAGTCATCCAAAATGCTCCTTCTCTTCATTACAGTGTTGAAAAATGCAACACTTCGAACTAGCTCGGACTAAATATAATCAGGGAATAATTTTCTTTCTTACAGATTCTGAAACCCTGAAACACTTTCACAGTTTTTCCCTTTCTTTTTTCACACAAACTGTCACTGGTTCACACACACATACACACCCAAACACAGGAAGGCTAATGGAACATTAGTCTTGTAAAGCTAACAGTGCGTCTAGTTTTATATCATATCTGAGAGTAACCTGCCAGCACACGGCGCTTATAAACCCCGGTGATAAAATGATATTTATTCCAGATGCACTCGTCTCATTCTGGGCCTCTCTAGGGCTCTCCCTACATCTCTTCAACACACAAACGCACTTAAAATAATCTCTGCTTGGCCAGAGCTAAACACATGCTTATGACAAGTGCTAGTTGTGGCTACTGCTGTTACGATGTGAACATTGAAATCTGTTTCAAGTGTAGCTCTCTTTTGCCAAATCTTTACATAATTCTGCCATCAGAGGGCACTTAAAAACACATGGCTTCATGGTTTCATATTTTGATAACAACATACTTTGTTGCATTAGACACTCCAGAGATTTGTCAATTATTTGTGACCCGTTTGGCACCGGATTTTGTTTAGGTGTCACTTTATTCTTTCACTGTTCAGATCTGCTTTCAGCTAGGCTCAATACACACATTCAATACACTCATTTAAAAAAATATAAATTCCACAATATCTGTGCATGACAGCTACAGTATGCTTTAGGTAAGAGTGAGATCGCGGTTATGACGGAAATACAGTTGTTGAGATATGGTTAAAGTTAGGGAACTAAAAAAATTGGTAAGTGTTATTGTACCGGTACTTGTGGTAGGAGATGCACAATTCAGCCACTCCAACCCTTACTTTAGCTCTCACTAAACATTGGCGTTGGACTTTAATTATGAGGTGCATGAGTGCAAAACATTCCAATAATTCCTGGGAAATGTTTCAAACAAACCTCCTTTACTGGTTTTGAAAATATAAAATGCCTTATAAGGGCACCTGGAAACTGTGACTTTCCTATGTGTTTGTAAAAGACGCATCTACAACAATTGCAAATACTTTTTGATACACTAAAGGTAGTCTAGTTTCCATTTAGGTTATATTCACTTCCCACTTCTCATATATTCTCTATCCTAGCCCCCCACCCCCATATCTCTTTCTCTTCACCTCTTCTCCCGTCCTCCTTTATCTCCCCACCTCCTCCCTCTGTTAAGGAGACAAGAGGCATTCTTTCCGTCGTTCGGCGGTCGTGTGCCATGATGTCATCGCCGCGGCGACAAGGCAGACAGTAAGCAGATACATGCAGACGCACCAGGCACCTGACCCCAACCCCAACACTAAGACACACACACACGCACATACATGGGGGCTCTCTCCTTCCTAAAACCACTTAAGGCCCCTCACATTATCAGAAACACTAATGCCTGGTCTTAGATCACTCACATATTTCCACACAAACACACACACACACACACACACACACACACACACACACTCCAAACAGCTTCCTGTGTGTGCTGCATTATCTCTTTCATGCTGTCACCCTCTACTGCAATCTACAGTGTGTGTGTGTGTGTGTGTGTGTGTGTGTGTGTGTGTGTGTGTGTGTGTGTGTGTGTGTGTGTGTGTGTGTGTGTGTGTGTGTGGTGACAGATGCATGTCTGTGTTTATGACAGCAAGTCCTTCTGTTTGTCCATGTGCTCATAAGGATGTACCGTATGTATTTCGGTGTGTGTGAATGTTAACAAGTTGTCTGTGTGTATTGAAAGTTATCTACAGTGCATGTATGTGTAAGAGTGAAGAGTGTGTGTGTCCCTGTGTGTGTGTGAAGTAGATTCAGTCCAATATGACATAGGCCAGTCCCTGTCTAAGACAAACACAGAGCTATTTTAGAAATAATCCCCTCTCTCTGCTCTGTGTTTCCGAGTGAACAAAGCAGCTCTCATTGTCTCAGTGACAGTCTGCTCTGGTACACAGGAGGCTGCGTGTAGACTCACAGTTTTCTCTTTAGAACTGTAGGACATGCTGTGTGTCAAACCCCACCTCATCTCTGTGTAAGGACGTTTCCCTCCACATGTTCTACTTCAGAGAACCTCACATCTCCCCATATTAAAGTCTCTACACTATTTGAGCCTCAGAATTGATTTTCAAATACTTTATTTGTTTTTTCAAAGGTTCAAAGGTTTTATTCTTCAGCTGCAGTGTAGTTGTGCAATGAAAATCTTGGGGCACAGGTTCCTCTTAAAGGTTTTATCAGATTTGCTTTAAACCAATGCACCCTGTAGAACCATCAAGTCTTCTGGAACCTTTTATTCAAGGGAAAGCAAAGAACCACTGTGAGGCGTCATTTTATCATCACGGCCCACAATTGTGTAACAGCCTCCCAGAGGACCTGAGGGGCAGCAGAGAGCATTCATTCTGAAGACCCTCCTTTTACATTTGACTTTATTCAGTCATGTGTATATTAACCTTTAAGTGAATTCCTTTTTTTTTTTTAAAGTGATGTGTTTCTTGTTATTTACGTATAAGCTGGGAAGTGGGGGTGGCATTATTGTTGTTCTCTTTCTATTTGGTTTGTGAAGCACTTTGTGTTACCTTCTGTGTATGAAGTGCTAAGTAAAGTTTGATTTGATTTGATTCTAACTTATATGAAAAACTATAGGCCTTAAGACACACACACACACACACACACACACACACACACACACACACACACACACACACACACACACACACGCAGCATCAAAGCAGACACAGCCAATAAAGCCTTTAGTAGAGATTTTTCTGCTGCTCCCTCCCTCTCTGCTGCAAAAGCACCAACACAAAGTTCCACTTCACCAGATCATAACAGAAGTCATTAGAGAGAATGATCGACACCTACCGCAGTTGTTAAGTTTGAAACTGCTCTCCACGGCTACATTAAGCCAAACACATGAAAGGGATGATAGCAGGGTGAAAATGCAGATTAATGATAAAAGGATTTTTAGGAATTACAGTCAAGATGAGGCTTTTATCCAACGCCAAAAAACAAACTTTGTTTGGAAAGAATACTTGCTTATTAAGACTGAAAGTGATAATCATATTGTCAGGACAGCAGCCAGGTCCTGATGTTATAGAAACTGTTTTTTTTATCTTTGACTACTCTGATTAAAGTAGCTCACTGTATAATGTACGAAAACACACTGAGAACAGCAGGATTTTTGGAGATCTTTTTTGAAAGCTGTGTGTGCGCGTGTGTGTCTTAAACTATAGTGGAAGTGGGTCGGACACACTGGACATGAATGATTTAGTGTGAAAGGAAAAGACGGGATGAGAGAGCATCAGAGAGAATGGGAAAACGTGAGAGAGAGTGTTAGGAAAATAGGTTAAAGCTGGTGCATAGGATAAGTGTGTGTGTGTG